TCCGGGTGGTGGTACCAAGTAAATCTCTCTCCTATTTTTGATGGTGGCATTGGCCCTGTGAAAGACAATTTTTTTCCAGCCATGGCTGACTGTGAGGCCACCATTTGGGACAAAAATTTTTAGTCAATGAAATTGTCCCACTTCTCCTTCTGTTCAGAACCAGCTCTCGTGGAGCCAAAGCTATTACCCAGATGCTTGTCAGGCAGACACAAAAACACTTTGCATTATGTTTTGGCTTGCTTTTAGGGGACTTCCTGCCAACAGAGTGATGGCATTTGCCCAAGTTTACCGTGAACTTGAGGGCAGATTTCTCTGTTCCTACCCTTGGAACGCTCCAGAAAGCGTTTTCCATTTTGCACAGGATAAAAGGAGCTTCCCTCAGAGGGAGTGCTGATGGCACCATCCCAGGCAGCAAACACAGTACAGCACCAAACTGAACACTGCTCCCCCCTTTTTCGTGAGGAGGGGATGCTCTGAGTTTTTTTATTCTTAAATTATTTTGTTCTTAATTATTCTTAAGCTTGGGCAAGGCTATGCTCAGATTCTCAGAAAGGTTTTTCTTGAAACTTTAAGCCTGGCATGTTCTTTCGCAGCTGGTAGAAAACATCGCTGGTGTGTGACCATGTGATATAGGGCTCCCTTTCCCAAGGATGCTGTAAACGTAGCAGTCTTCTCTTTCTTGGGTATTTCCTCTGTTTGTTAGAAGAGGTGGCTTTCATGGGAGCTAATTCTGTTCCCAGCTGCCGTTCCGGCTCTCTGAGCTTGGTGCTCACATAGAGCTTACAGCTCCGAGCCTGTCTGATGCTGGGTAAGAGGCTGGTACTTCTTTTTTGTTTTTATGAAAAGCTTTGATGCTCTGGCAGGGAAATCTCTGAGCAAAACTCAGCTCCTTGGCTGTGTCTGATTCACCCTTTGGTTGCATCATTATCCACCCATTGGCATCACCAGTGAATATGACAGAAAATATAGCAGTGTTTCTCAGGACTTAGCCTTTTTTGGGCCAGAGAGTGTTTCAACTTCTGACTCTTCCGTAAACCGAGAGTGAGCCTGAAATTGCCTTCAGGTCCACTGGTCCCCCAGTGCGTGTTTAGCTCTGAACTGGTACATCACTTCTGTTGATGCTGTCCCTCAGTGGTTGTTTTTCCAAAGACCCTGCTCACTCTCTGCCTGTGACGTTGCCCTCAGGTTGCTGCAAGCTTTTGTTCCCGGTGGTCAGTGCCAGCTTGGCAGTGGGAAATACTCTCTCTCAAATCAGATATTTAATGACAAACTTGGCTCAGGATGCCCAGTGTTGCCCAACCTTTTCTCTTTCTTCAGCGACTGCAGTGATAGCTCAGAACAGTGCAGTTGAAAACCAGCTTATGTCCATTTGGGAAGGAGGACCGTGTTGAAGAGCATGCAGGACGCTTTTTGGGACAGGGAAGGCTTTTGGGGCAGTGAAGGCAACTAGAATCCCAGTTCTACTTGGCTTTTAGAGGCCTTTTAATGCCAAATGTCTGT